TAGCAGCAGTAGTGGCAGCAGCAGTGGCAGCAGTAGTGGCAGCAGTAGAAGCAGCAGCAGAAGCAGCAGTAGTGGCAGCAGTAGCAGCAGTAGCAGTAGCAGCAGCAGTAGTGGCAGCAGTAGCAGCAGCAGCAGTAGCAGCAGCAGTAGTGGCAGCAGTAGCAGCAGCAGCAGTAGCAGCAGCAGCAGTAGCAGCAGCAGCAGTAGCAGCAGCAGTAGTGGCAGCAGTAGCAGCAGCAGCAGTAGTGGCGGCAGTAGCAGCAGCAGGTAGGCGGCAGGTCGCACCGGGGAGGAGGAGTGAGAGGCGGCGGGACATTTATACAGGGACAATATGGGCACCATGTCCATTATTCGCCTAGTCCGTCAGTCTGTCTGTCCACCATACATGCATACATACATACATGCACACATACCTGCGGCCTAGAAGCTGCCGTTGCAACTCCAGAAACTTGGCTTCAGCCGGGTCCGCCACTTCAGCTTTGGACCCAGCACTGGCAACGCCCGCGGCCTCAGCTCCGCGACCGCCATACTGCTCGTCCCATGCCAGAGCCAGCGGTCGTACTGCCAGCAGCAGCTCCCCTGGCTGCACCGTACGAGTGGTGACCAGGCCACGGCCGCGACCGCCTGCCAGTGTTCGACGGAGCGGAGGAAGCGGAGACGGCGAGAGGGAGGAAACGGCGGCGGAGGAGGAGGAAAGTGAAGCTGGAAAACGGTGAATGTGTCTGAATGTGTACAGCCGTCAGCAAGGCTTTTCCCTACAACGTGCCTTTTGCTATAGTAACCCTTTTGGGATGCCGGCGGGATGACATCAAAAACACAGCTGTCTGACAGTGACAGAAAACGGCGCTGCCAAGGGCCTTATACTAACATAGAAGCTAAACTAACTAACGCAATTCGTATGGCCACCGTACATATCCTAGCTTAGAGGCTATACTCGCTTCGCTCCGGCCGCATCATCAAAACTGCAAATATGTCGCAATATGATAGCACCCCCTCGCATCACGGGCATTTATTGTATTCACTGGGGTGCGGGTGGGGGTGCGGGAAAGGGAGAGGAGACCAGCAGGGCTGCAGGGCCGGTGCGGGGAGGCAAACCACGGCAGCCTCTGTAGACAGGGCGGTACAGATACAGAGTGGTCTCTTTAAGGTACCTAGGCACTGGCGAGGGAAGGAGGAGCGGAGGGGGATGGGTATCGGATAGAGGAGACCGCCTTAGGCGACATCGCGCGGCCGGGCGCCTTGGAGATGGTGCTGTGCACTCGCAGATGCGCCGACACGTGCTGTGCCAGCAGCTGTGCGCTGCCTCCTTGGTGGCTTATCACACTTGGGGGCTCATCCGTCCTACGATGCCCACAACGACGGGTAAAGGAAGAAATATATTTGCGGGCTCAGACCGACCATATGTTAGCGGCCCAGCGGGCCCTCCTTTCTAAAACGATACCCTGTGGGGTTAGGTTACCCGTGTGGTGGTGGGGAAATAGAAAATATAACCCCCCTTCTCTTGCCCCCCCCTCTCTCTCTCTCTCTCTCCCACTATTGGCAAACCCGCACACCATCCCTGCACTCTTCCCGCCCTCTTCCCAACTCAGGAAAGGCACGGGAAAACATCGGAGAGCAGCCAGCCTAGTCCCGAGCCGTACCCAGAGTCAAGCCCCAAAGACTAAACAGGGTATAAGCTCGGGAGCTTAGGCTGAAGAGATTTAGTCCTGGACCGCAGCTCCCACCCACGCTGTGGCGTGCGGTGCGGTGTAGGCGGCCCAGTCAGCATCCTTTATACGGATGCTGACACCCCGCCGTGGTGTCGGCACGACCCACTTTCCCCTGCTGGAGTGCGGCTCTTACCTCCGAGCTCCGCAACCCGCACGGGCCCAACGCGTGGCGCTTTCAGGGGGCCGGGTCCGGGGTCGGTGAACAGCGCATCAGCGGCCGCCTGGGCTGCCGCGGCGGCTGCCGCTGGGGTGCGATCTGCACCCCCACGGCCGCGTTGACCTGATCCGTCACCTGCAGCACCGCCGGGGGAATTTTTCTTCGTGGCGCTGCCGCTGGCCCTGCTGCGGCGGTTGTCCCTGTCATTTGCGGCAGAATTAGTGGTGCTGGGTGATGTTGGGAAGTCCCCAGCTGGAGTTTGGGGCTGACCGGAGGAGGCGTCTGGCGATGACTCCGGGACGTATGGGGAGGATACTGCAGACTGGATCGCAGACCCTCGAAGAGGTAATTTTCTGACACGTTCGCCAGTTGTATTCGTAGACGATTCCCCTGTTTCCAGCAGGCAGCAGGTAGTACGGGCAAAATGGATACGTTTTTCGTTGCAATGTCAACCCAATCGAGAGGCCTTTCTCACCGATCTGCAAGCGCTTTTTTGCTGCGTGAAAGACATGAGGGCGCCTGTGGCATTTCCACCCAACGTGTCGCCCAGCCGCCGCGGCGCAGAACGGTTGACAGTGCAACCAACTACAGGTGGCCATCGGATTTACCCGTAAAATATAAAACATTTTTATGAATGGTAAAATAAGTGTTTGCCGAGGTACTGCTGCCTAATTACACAACGTATTATTGTATTGTCAGGACCGTTACTGTCTGTTTTCAAAGGTACCGCACTTAGGAGCAAGGCCGCCCAATTTTGTCTACGCTTGACCCTACTGTTTGTTTCTCTTTGCATTAGGCAACTGTGGTACTGGACCGCCGCTAACAGGTCTAACGGTCATCCGTACCAGCGGTACGCCTAAGAATAGTCTTAGCTTTCCAGTGCCGCACGGTACATGCCAATACCACAACTATCGGTGTATCCCGTTATCGTTACTTCCTGCGTTACCTCCAAGTACGAAAGGGCTTTGTTACAATTTTGGCGTCGTAGACCAACAGGTCAAAGACCTCGGAGCCTAGTTGCTCCATCGCTTCCGCACAAACAGGCTTATCAGAATTTCTTACTTCAGCAATATGGCCGGTCCAGCCCGCAATCCCTCCCGCGCGGGGTCTCCCGAGGCCGAAGGGCGCGGAGGTTTGTGCACCTGGTCCAAGCCAAATATGGCAAATTCTTGGGGCGCACCCAGCGTAAGGGCATCGTACCGCCGTCCAGATTGTTTGAAACGATAACGCAGCTCTGCGAAAAGCAGATTACCATACCGTACTAGGCCAACTAAAGACTTTCCGCATGTGCGCAGAAGAGCCGCGAGCTCTATGCTGTCCACGGTTTCCGCAAGATTTGTAAGCTGTTTGCAGGTTTCCTTACGCCTTGTAGGCTGTTCGCGGGTTCCCAGACAGCGTGTATCCGTATGGCATAAAACGGTCGGTAAAGGACTGGTTAGCTATAACCCAACCGGTTTGAGATAACGACCCGACAACCGACCGGTAACCTTATCGGTCGGCGACCCCGCATTTACCGGGTCGTTAGGTCGATATGTCGGTTACCCTACCGGCCAGGTACCGGAGCAACCACTTCCCGACCGGTTTGCAGGGTTGCCGACTTGTGACAAGCAAGGATAATTAGAAAGATCTCCATAAACGCACTTGGCGACAAATGCAGAAGAGCACCTGCCGTGCAGCCATCGACCACCAGCTCATGAATGGCCGAGCCGTGTATGAATGGCTGAGTTAGGGATGCTCGTCATTTCACCTCCAAGGTGCAATGACGAGCATTGGATCCTAAAATTGTCTAATTTACCTCTGTATGGCGTATGTTAAAATTAATCCTAAAGATGTATACGTGGGCCGTCTTGCTTTTTCACGGGTTTCTACACACCTTGTGTGCTCTTCACGGATTTCCACACGCGTTGTAAGCTGTTCGCAGCTTTTCGCGGGTTTCCACACACCTTGTATGCTGTTCATGGCTGATGATGCTCTGGCGACAAATAAGCACAAATAAGCAACTTCATTTAAACTATTGAAGCATGTCATGCCATATCTGCAATATCTGTCCTAACCGAGCCGCTTCACAGCAGTACAGCACCAGCGTCCCCTCGCATCCCCGTCGTCCATTCCAATCCAATGTCACAACCAGTCACTAATCCTCAATCTACGGCATTGCTTGGTCGCTGCTGGTTGCCTAACTAACAACTACCATGCCGCCCATCAACAACCAAAAAAACAACGGTCCACAAGTGCGGCACCTGGCTCTCATGATCCTCCTGCAGTACAAACGCCTGCTTCGAGCAATACACCAAGGACAGCTACAACAGCAACCTAAACAGCAACAGGAGCAGCTCGAGCAGAGCAATGCACCCCCGACAAACAAGAGCATTAACAGTTACCCACCAGCACCCAAGGGGACGCTATCAATGCAGCTATATGCGCTAAACAAGTTCTGTAAAGTAGGTGAATGGCTCCCTTTGCGCACCTTGCCACCCCATAGCAGGTTTTGCAAGGTTCAAGATACCGTACGAATCAGGGAGAGATGGCAAAATGGCAAAGCCGAGGCGGAGATGGCCTGGAGGCGGCGCTTGGGGTGGAGGGAGGGTGAGAAAACCTGTGGGAGGTTTTGAGCATATGCATGAGCGGTGTCCAGACAGCAGGAAGCCCTGCACCATCGGTGCTCTTCAGGATCCTCTGATTTGATGCTCTTCCTTCCAATTGGCTTTACAACAGGACTTGAGGGGGGTAACCGACAAGTTGGGTGTCGGCTTCAAGGAAGCCGGAAAAAGGGCGGGGCCCCTCTGCATCCGTACAGGCCGGTAGCAAGGGTGGCAAGTGTGACAATTGATGGGTAGTGTCAACGCGGTGGGAGATGTGCTTCGTTGCAGCAGTGCTGATGGTGTGAGAGCTAAGCTTGCACCGGCGGAATCGTCAGCACCGCCTGCGGGCTCCACGCGAATCGCATCCATTCCGGGTGCATGCCGCATGGACAGTGCGGCAGACCGCAAGTCGGAATGCCCGTGCGGGCAAATGGTAACGAAAGCTGGGTGAATTTCCGTGCTGTCTGTGATGTTTATCCCCGAAGCGCCAGCGGCCTCAGCAATCCGCCCCACAGCCGCGGGCTTCATCGGGGCACACCGCAAGTCTCAGGAGGCCCCGTGCATTGGCCAAAGTAAATGTACAAACAAGCAGCTTGTGTATTTCATAGAGAAATGAAAGCAAATTATGTTGGCCTGCTGGTGGCAAGTCGGATTGCCCATGCCGGCAAATGGTAACACAAGCTGGGTGTTCGAGTTATCATACGCCGTCATCTCAGAATTCCATTGTGAGATACGCGGCAGCTTTCGGGATGAAATTTAGCGCGAGAGGCGTTGATGTGACTTTTGAGGTCGGTGAATGGAGGCAGCTAAACTTGTTTGTGCTCATACGGTCTTTCTTAGCTACATGCGAGATACCTTGCAATAGAGAATGCTGTATAGTACCGATAACGCGTTTCAGCCGGGTGAAATATTATGTTTGGTCCGTTACACACTCAAGGCCTGGGAGTTCGAGTTATCATACGCCGTCATCTAAGAATTCAAATATGAGATACGCGGTACCTTTTGAGATGAAATTTAGCGCGAGAGGCGTTGATGTGACTTTGGCCTCGGTCAATTGAGGCAGCCAAACTTGTTTGCGCTCTTACAATTTTTGTTGGCTACATGCGAGATACCTTGCAATAGAGAATGCTGTATAGTACCTATAACGCGTTTCAGCCAGGCGAGATATTATGTTTGGTCGGTTACAGACACACACACACACACACACACACACACACACACACACACACACACACACACACACACACACACACACACACACGGACATGGGCAATCCTACAGGTCGGGGCCCCCCTGGGCGCTTCGCGCTGGGGCCCCGCCCAAAAACGAGGAGCAGCACACTGGAGCTATCACATGGCACTGCTTGAGGCATCAGGCGGCCTTAAGGCATGCCAGGACAGGACATTGGTCGGCCCCTGACCACCACATGATGTACATACATACACACACACACAGATAGGGTGTTGAGCCATCTTTAACAGTTCCCCTGCACACAGCTCTCATCACGAACCGTTAATACACACTTTTCTCACATACACGTGAGCGAATTTAAACACACAAGGAAGCATTTATCGCCAGCGACGCTCCTTCCGAACACACATGCATTCTATCCATGTGATGTGATGTGATGCAAAAGGGTTGCCTGCATGTTATTCCCTTCTAGTACATATGCATGGACCACCCTTACACGATAGCTCGCAGGACATACACACATACGTACAATTACAACACCGCATCCATTTGCCTTTCGCCCCTGTCAGGGCCGATGCTTTACCGTTGGGTGATAACTTAATATTGATAAGCTGATGGGTGATGGCCCAGCATTACAAAGAAATAGACAGGCACAATACATAACATACATACTCACACCATCTACATATGCAGTGCAGATCCTGCCTTTTGCTTCTAGCCCCAGTGTGAGTGACCACTTAGTTTAATGACACCGCAACACAACACGAGGCTTCATCAGCTCGGTCCTAGCCTCTAAGAAACAACGTGATGGGGACCTCGCCTTTTGAAAACCCTTCGCCTCGGTGCCCCTAGCTGCTGGCCTAGACAGAGTATCGGTGCGAGCAGCCCCCGGTGATCTGGTCGGGTCAGATTTATTAACCCACACGTCGCTCATGTACTAAACCTGCTCTTATGAACACACACATGCACATCTTCACACACACACACACACACACACAGACACACTTGCACGTCTCTTTAATCTCTCCCCTGCCCTGTTTCCTAGCATCTAGCATCTACCTTGCCAGTGGTGATGGTGTAACGCCGGTCTGACCTCGTGCATGCACACACACATACATACATACATACATACATACATACATACATACATACATACATACATACATACATACATACATACATACATACATACATACATACATACATACATACATACATACATACATACATACACACTTTCTTTCTCACCTTCACCAGTAGTAATGTAACTGGCGAACGTCATAAAAATAACCCTCTGAAACACCATCCCATTATTCATTCAGACTGGAAAGGTCATAGGTTGATTAGCCGGACATCAAAGCTAACAATTATAGCTTGCATATATACGTACATCAGCCAACCATTCGCAACCCAACTCAACTTGGCCCAACACCCAACACACAACCCGTAATTGCCACATGTTAACCAACCCAATTCACAGCACCGAGGGGAACCCGAGATCAACCCCGACAAGGAGCAATATACGAGAGCGGCAACGAATCACTACCACAGTAAAATTAGCCCCAGCGAGGTGGGTGAATAGCAGGCAAGCAAGGTGCTGCTGCTGCTGCTGCTGAAAATGTCGTGGCCCGGATGCATCTGTGCACGGAGATTATCTACGCAGCAGTGAGTAGATTGGCCTCCGCTTTCAAGGGCGAGAGAAATCGAGGTAGGGGAAAGAAGGAAACGAAACAAGCCAAGGGAAGCAGCTATAGGTTGGATAACCAGGGCGATGGAAATGGAGATCAAGAAGAGAAAAATAAAGGAAAGAGGTTGAGCGAGAGAGAGAAACACCGTCCCAACGCGAGCCATGTTTACCGTACGGCAGGTGCAGTACAGCAACTGTACAGTAAACAAGGTGCTGTGAGCCCGATAACCGTGTGAGCACGATAACCTCCTCTTCCTAGTGCTCTGCTTCCGGCCATCCATCTAACTAACCCCCGAAGGCAACGGGGACGGCGACAGCCCCATTGTGGTGTTGGACGGCGGCTTTTCCAGAATCGGCGGCAGGCTGTGGTGCGGCAGCGGCGGTACAAGGCCTATAAGGCCGCACTCCGACCACACGATGCCGTCCGCCGGTGGGGAACCCAGCTGTCTGTCCTCCCAGTCTTGTGGCCAGGGCTTCAGTCCCAAATGTGCGGCGGTGGAGAGGAACAGCTGATCCAAGTGACTCAGAGCGCGACCGAAACTGTGCATGTGCGTGCGTTGGGAAGGGGGGAGGGTGAAAGGGGAGGAGGTGAAGGGGGAAGGGTGAAGGGGAGTAGGGAGAGGCAGGGATGGAGAAAGGAAAGAAGGCCGTTGCTAGAAGCGGGGGGGTTGGATGGGTTTGAAGGTGGGAAGGAAGGTAGGGAGGAGGGTAGGTGAAAATTCGGCTGGGATGCAACGAACTGAGATGTGCTTTTCTGGTAGGATTAGGATTGACGTTGTTGCACTGCACTGCAACGTGCGTTTTCCACTGCCGTACATACGGGAGACGAAACGAATGGTTTGCCTGTCTGTCTGTCTGTCGTTTTGCCTATGCCCCTACCTGTCGGCATCTCTGCATGTTTGGCTCACCAGTCAGGTACGATAAGGCATACACCGTCGTACATCCTATACATCATTGCCGGGTGCTGCTGGGCCCCCTGTGGATGTACGACCAACCCCCATGCAGCCGGGCGCCCATTCCGCCCTGCCGTACCTGTACCATCGCTGATCGTAACCCTGACTTGTCAGCAGCGGCTCAACGTCCCCCAGAGGGCAGGTGTTGAAGTCCAGGTTTCCCATCCTGGCTAGCTTCTCCGACGTCCAGATGTGAACCTGTGTGGGTCGGTGGGTCGGTCGGCCAGTCGGTGGATTGGCGTGTAACGCACGTCTCCTTCAACGGGCGAAACCCAAACACTCGAGTAGCTATTCTGTCACCTCCTGTGGACGTTCGTTTTACCCTTTCCCCACCTTTTCCCCCACCTTTCTCCCCGGCCCTTGCTTCCCCCTTCCCAACCCCTCAATCCCCATATTCCGTGTTTCTACGTCTCCCTCTCTCCCAGCTTATCCCACCCAACACCCGGCGGCTCACATCCGCCAGCGTGGTGTTCCAACCCAGCCCAGACCGCATGAGGAGAGCCGCCGCGTGGCTGCCGGAATTGAGATCCAGAACTAAATCGTACTGCAGCAGCAGCTTCTTGGCAACTGCCTCATGGGCCTCCCCAATGCCGTGCAGCGGCGTGTGAAAGGCACGCTCGCCCACCAGCGTCCTGTATCCACGGGGGCGGGGCCGTTTGTGCGTGTGTGTGTTTTGGGTGGGGTGAGGTGGGGGGGTAGCGGGGTCACGAGAGGTCGGCAGCTCAGTCGTCGTACACGTACTTCGGTACGGAAACGTTAAGACATCATAGGTTATCCGATAACGCATCACTAACCATAGTCCTATTTGTGTAGTCAAATCCAGTATATGAAACAAAAAGAAGCAATAAAATATTTTATAATTCGAAGTCAAGCCGCTGTTTTCTCCGCCCCCAAGGCCCCACTTCTCGTCCACCGCTCGCCGTACATTGTACTGCTGCAGAGGCCTCGCAACGAGCCCCAAACAAACTTACCGTATGTTGTAGTTATCCGCTACGGGAGGGGCGTAAATCTCCCAGTCAGCCGCGGACCGGTTACAAAAGGCCTCCGAGAACAGCTTCGCGGGCAAGGCCCTCTCCCGCTTGAGCTGTACGAGCATGTAGCGCAGGTTGCTGAGTAGACGATCCAGGGGCTCCCTGCGGCGGCGGTATTTGCAGCGGAGGCGGAGGCGGAGGGTGGACAGGGCGGGCGGGCGGTAATGAGTGTGTGTATGTGTGGGGGGGTTTGGGCTTGAAGGATTATTGATGGTGGTGCAGTGTGTATATAAACGACCATGTATGTATGTATGTATGTATGTATGTATGTATGTATGTATGTATGTATGTATGTATGTGGAGGACACATGTTTTGAGTTGTGGGGCGGGGCAGCCGCAGTCGCAGCAGCGAAGGGAGCGGGACGGGACGGGACGGGAANNACAACTGAGCGAAGTAAACNACCGGCAGGGGGNCCAGGGGGGAGCAGAGGGGGGCAGGGGGCCAGGGGGGAGGGGAGGGGGGCAGGGGGCCCGGGGGGAGGGGAGGGGTTCAGGGGGGGGGGGGGGGGGCAGGGGGCCAGGGGGGCTAGCTCATGAAAGTCGCCGGGTGGGAAGTGGAGGTGGAAGTGGTGGAAGTGCGGGAGGTGGACATACGGATATTTACGGTATTTCCTTTTGTTTCCGCGTTTTGCTGCTACTTTCAACACACACACACACACACACACACCACCACCACCACCACCACGCACGGATACATACATACTTACCAGCGCCAGGGCCCCTCATTGCCCTCTCAGGATGCCGCTGCCCCATAACTACCAGATAACTACCACGTACGACGAAAAACACACGACGAGACGAGATTCCTACATATCCACAACCGCACATACATACCCACATACCCACATATACACACACAAGCGCACACAGACACGTGCGCCTGCACCCGCAACCACCACTCACCGAATCGTGGCTACGTTGACAAATTGGGGGCATATGTGCGTGCCGTACATGCCGTCTTGGCCGCCGTGCAGTGTATACTCGTTGTTTGTGTACTGCAGGCCTATACGACGGAAGTGCTCGAGGCGACGGCCGCAGTCCCGCAGTGCAGATCGCCGCTCCATTATGCCGTACCGAGGGCAAACCCTGCCAGGTACATGCGGAGCCCGACCAGGGATGAGAGTGCAGAAGAAAAGGGCTATAGCTGTGAGTTGACATATCGCGCAATGGAGACGTGGTATAGACTCCTTCGTTTGATGTGGCATCTGAGCACTGCTCCTGCTGGCAGATAGCCATCACGCAATTGCGACGGATCGCTACGTGGGGTTCCCTCCCCTCCCCTCCCCTCCCCTCCCCTCCC